TTAAGCACTTGTTGGTTTAAAAGATTTTAAAAAGTCCAATTTTAGCTTCAAGCTAGAGTGTCGTCACTATATCTCAAGCCCTGTGGGCATTTTTTAAAACATCTATTCTGCGTAAACTACTTTAGTACCTTTCAATGCAATCTAATAATATCCCTGTCTGTTGATATCTCCTAATTATATCCAAAACTACGCCATGATTTGTGGCACCGAACACTGCTGTGACATGAAGCAGGGCAAGGAGAGATACTCCCTCATCAAGGATCTGGCACAGGACATCCATCACAGCAACTAATGCATCTTCCATCACTTGCTCCGCCCAAAACCTGGCTGAGATCCAGATCCACGTCTTCCGCGATTCTCAGCAATGCCTCGGTACTATGTTCTCCTCAAGCTTCCCAAAAAGGGGGAGAAGGGAGATGGGGGATAATTGCCAAAGGTCTTTGGGTCAAGGGAGGGCCTGTTAAGGAGGGGGCACTTTAAAGCTTCCTTCAAGCACAAAGGCATTACCACCATTATATTCAGCTCATATCAAAGCTGAGAACCCTCCCTGGGATCATGAATTAGCCATTGTCTATTTTGCAGATTTGGTGCACCTCAGGTGACATTCCAAGATGTCACTGGTACTCGCTGTACAGATTCTCTCCAGCCATTATCACACTCTGAAGAAATGTGCATGATTTTGACTACAAAGTATCTCACAAAAGGGTCACAGCAGCCTGGGAGCTCTTCTTCTGACCCAGCACCCCCCAAAGGGAACAGCTACCCCCAATGTTCCAACCTGCTCCCAAATCAATGTACAATTTCTACTTCTTTATTTTCAGCACTATAGTATTACCTTGCTCTCTAGTTCTACTGACTTTAACTCTTCTGTCTTTTTTTCTTTAATAAAGCAGTCTTCCTTGCTTTGAAAGGTGTTTTGCTCATAAACAAACCTGGCTCATTTGCAGCGGGCCAATGGTATTGACGGAATACACTTTCATCATATCCTTGGCATTTTCTGTTTCCAGATCCCTGAATAACCAAATGCCAGCGTTGTTGATTAGGAGGGTCAGCCCACTTTCTCCAACACACTTCTGTACTTCCTTCCGAGCTGCCTGGATGCTCTCGAGATTAGTGACATCTGAGGAAAAGCAATGTTATTTGAACTTCAGCAACATGGTGTTTCAGCACTGCAAGGGAGGATTTTCCTGGGGATCTGTGTGTCTATTCATGCAACTGACCACCTTCTGGAATAGCAGCTTGACAGCTTCCTGCTCCAGCAGTTGAGGACCTGCAGTCCACTAAGGGCATGAGAACATCAGCAGCAGTGCAAGAGGGCACTGCCTAAAAACAAGGACTTTAAGATGACAGCAAATTGACCTAGTCACTCTGCTAAGAACTGCATTCCACATGGGGCTAAAGTCAGTTTTAATACAGACTGTCTTTACACATTATACCCAAGTCATGGCCTTATAACCAAAACTGATTGAATAAAGTCACAAATGATTGGGTTCCTACAACACCCAGACCGCAACCAACATATAAAGACACACACGTCTTCTTGAGGTGTGTGAACTACTATAAAGCT